TGTGTGTGTGTGTGTGTGTGTGTGTGTGTGTGTGTGTGTGTGTGTGCAAAACAAGAGAGGCCACATAATCACACTGCACCGGCATGTGATAGGCGCCACTACGCGCGCGGCGTCCCTACCTTCCGACAGTGTGCGATGTGCCACTCGTCCTCTCCGCGGAAGGCGCGGAGCGTTATCGACCGATCGTTACGCCTCCACGAGACTCGGCCGCCGCGTACCACGCACTCTCGAGAAAGAGATGACGCTCTTCTCTCTTGCCGCGATGGAACGAGATGTAACACGAATAGTCGTGTCGCTGAGATTCTCGTCTTGAAAATTCTGTGCCAATCCTCGAATCGTTATAGGATTCAGTTGTTACGACTCTATATATCAAGAGAGAAACAGAGATGTAGAGATATGACGCCGTGAGAGATATCTCGTATCAGTCGATAACGAATCCTGACCCAGTCACTGAGTAAGCGCCACCATATCCTGAAAAGCGATGCCCTCGATCTTTGAGGAAAATTCCTATCGATCGGTTGCAGCGTTTCGATGAAACTTGCCATTATGGCGAAAATACATGACCGGGTCAATGCAGAGAGCGCTGACATCCCTTCAGTTTGGAGAGAAATCGATATGTACACACGTTTATCCGGATGTCTTTCTAAAAAAAAGTAACCTCTTTAAAACTGACTTTCAAAATTAAAAACAATAAAGACCTATTTGCCGATTATTCTATTATAAAAGCTAATTAAAAAAAGATTGAATGATTGCGTTCGAAAACGATTAAAACGATTATAAAGATTATATTTTAAAATAAATTTCGTGAAGGAAATTATTTTATCTTGTATATAGAGGGAATATTATTGATGAAGTGGATTTTTATTTTATTCAAATCTTGACGCGGCCAACTTCAGATCCCTCTGACGTAATTCGCGCGATTGGGAGATTCCCGAAGGTGTCAAGATCTTATTACCTGCCTGTGCGGTGGTTGTATACACATTTGAATCGTTCTGATTATGTCAGCTGGTTCTCTGACGTAAGGAGACGCCCGGCGCCGATTGGACGATGGGCGCGCGCCCACTACGCGATTGTGCGCGCGTGCGCCGTTCTCATGGCTCCCCTCAAAGTTGCCGGAGCCCCCAAATGCATCGGCAATGGCGTCACACGGTATCTGCCATCATCCTCTGGAATGCCTATTGGTTAGACACGAAGGCGCAGTTCGCAATTCTTGCATACTGGCAGCTAACGTATTATTGTATGTATCGCGAATAATTTCAACAAAATGAGAAGATTGTCGATAATTTTCATCCAATAATCGGCGTCAATTGTACGCACAATTTGAAAAATCTTCGCGTTAGCAATAAACAACGACCAGAATGTTTTTAACACGCTTTCATTCCATTGCTATGGACATTCGTACAAAACATTTGTGAAGAATCAGAAATACACATTTATATTAAATACATATGAGATTAGAAACTTATCGGAATATATCGCGAGGAAAATTATAAAAATACAATTTTTTAATTATAGAGAAAAATAAATAAACAAAATAGATAAAATATTTCTCCGAAGTTTGAAATAGATAGAAATACAATAGTTTAATAAAAATGGACAGAGCAAATAAAAATGTTCCCTCTGAAGTCTGAAGTAAATCATCGCTTAAAGTGAGCTTAAGCGCGCATTGTTTATACGCGCGCGTCGCTCGTTGCGTTGTCAATCAGAGTTCATGAGAGAGAGCGTGCACGCGCGCGCGCGCGCACACATTTCGGAGCGAGACGGCGTGAAGTGCGCCGCGCACGCGTTCGGTACGATCGACTCCCGTGACGCGCGCGTCGATGACTCGCCGTTGACCGCGCGGCGGGACACCCCGTCCCTAATCGTCGAGGGACCGGTGCGGGCGGCGCGCGGCGCGACGCGGCGCGGCTAGGAAGCGCGCGCGGAATCAGGTGCGATGAAGATACCAAATCCGGGGTGAATGGACTCCCTCTCGTTAACGGAGATAGGACATTTTCCGTCAATGCAACGAACGGATACGGGCGAGGGCCGCGCGCGCGAGATCTTGACGGCTTTGACGTTGACCTTACGCGACACACTCGATGCCGTACGCTCATTATTTTTGGTCGAAAAAAAATTTTAGTGCTCGTCGACAATTCTATGCTTCTTTGTTGTATTTTTTTTATCAGTAATTAACACTAAAAGTATACTTACGTTTCTTACTCACTAAAAAGACAAAACAACTAAATACCGTGAAAATAAAGGAAGTGAGAAAAACCAAACCATTTAGTATAAAGAATATAGTTATCGAAAAGTCAAAGAATTTTAGAATCTTTTACACACAAAGAATATTATATTAACTTAAAAAAGTAAAATAGTCAATAATGATTTTCAATGTTGACAGAAAAAAATGGAAAGAGAAGAGAGGAGCTTTCTGATATTGAATCACGTATAGTTTAATAAGTATCGATAACTCTATATATTTCGGTCTGCTTTAATATACTTAATATACTCAACGTAGTTATATTAAAAATAAAACATCGATGATATGTGTCAAGGAGAAAAACGGACTTTTAGAAGATTAAAATTTCAATAGATATTTCTTAGAAGAAAATGCGAATGGAGTCGAAGCTTGAGATACAAAAGCAAGGTCGGAGAGAAAGTTTTGCGCGGTCGTGTAACACAGGAATTTCTAAATTTCGAAAAGCCTATTTGATATTAGAAAATACGTGATGAAATTTAAAATCTCAGATATCAAATGTCCTTGAGGAAAGAAATGAATTATATGTCATCAAATAGTAATTAACTTTATCTCGATTGCTGTAATTTTGAAATATATAAAAAATTTTCACAGAGATGTTTTTCTCCTATTGTTATCATAGTGCATCGATCAAAGTTGGGTGATTTAGCAGAATATTAAAATAGCTGTTTATCAAAAAAAGTAGCTTTCCAACTGTTGTGACATTTAAATCCAGTGAGGAACTAAGGACATGAAACAGTCATAATAAAGAATTCTACAATTTTGTTGCATTAACTGGATAATTGAACATTCTACTCGAGATAATCAGAATTTCAATTAAGATAACCAGAATTCCGATTTATGTTATCAGAATTATTTTGTTTGTAGTTCTTGTTGATGCAATCAAAACATTTTTCTCAGTGTGATCCTATATCCAGATTTATATACCCGGTTCTATCAATATAGATTAAATTTAATCACGGTTTAACTTACTACTTCATCTTTTTATAATTCTTAGAATTAGAAAAAGATAAGGAGTTAATTGAACCAAGATTAAAGTTGAAATCATTAGCGAAAACGAGCCTGATTCAAAATGGACCGATGAATCGGAAGTAATGCGTCTCAGGCAGGAATGGTCGAAATGCAATTAATCAATCGAGCGATTAGCGAGTCGATTGCGCATGCCTGTTTTGTTGAAAACGTTTCACGGTACGATTGTATGCGATAATATGCGTTTGAATAAATTAGCGGCTTGTCACGTCGCGTGACAAATAGAGACACTGTGCCGTAAGGTCAAGGACCGACCCGATGTCGCTTTCTCGGCGAGCCGCGCGCCGCACTCCCTGTATATGTCTATTTTACTGGGTAATGCACGTTTCGCCGCGCTCAAAGGATAATTTATTACCTTGCGATTTAACGTCTCCGTTCGCGAAGACGTTATTGCCGCCGACCGTTCGTTCACGGCCAATGTTATCTTTTGTTCGGTAAGAGCGTGTAGATTTTTACATTCACATTTTATTGGATTATTACGGCTTATTGTTGATATTTTGCTAGCATATCTGACCGACTACTCTGCTTCTAAAGATCTAGAAAACTAGATACCTCATTATCGCGAATTAAACAGCAACGGTGACCTAACAGAACGTTGATGATTTTTAACAGCCGTTAGAGTCGAGCAATCCCGTTTGATATCACTCACTTTTTTTCATTATTACTAGATGTACAGTTGCATTCACACACATGCGTTCAAGATTACCGTATAAAAAAAAACTCGAGAGTAGTAAGTGTAATCTTTGCATTTTTACAAATAATTTATTTGTTTAATTTACCAAATGAGTAATTTATAAGTAAGATTTTAGATATATTTTTTGAAAATAAGAGTGACACAAACCAACGTTGGAATCCCAAAAAAAAAAATGCTTATCGCGATTACACATATGACGCATGACTGCAAAGTAGGAATTTCTAAATGGAAAACTCCTATTTTCGATATCGGAAAAACAAGCATGTGTGTCACTGCAGCGAATTCACCAGTCATGGTTCTGCTTTTATTTATTTATTTTTTTTTTATTTTTATTTTTTATTACAGCGTTATCGCGCAAATCCCGCGTGTGTTCATGATGAAGGGGAATTCCCCGGGCAGAACGCGCATTCTAATTCCCGATGAAAATCATGACCCTCGCAAATCCCTAACGAGATATCCTGCCTCACCATCGATTAACCCTTTGATCACTAATCGTCGCTATTGTTTGACAGACATCCCTCTGCGGCATTAAATGGAGGAAACTCGTGTGGGGCGAGGTGGCCGGTGGCTTCGGCGGCACGCCCCTCGAGGACCCGGTGCTGTCGAGTTTCTCGCGATGTTTAGCTGGTGACATTCTGTGCGTGTGGCGACGAGTGGCCGCCACGCCGGCCACCTCCGGCCCGGCGGCTGCCACCGCCGCTTCGGCGCCCGGGGCTGGCATCTTCGACCTGGGCATCGCGCCGTCGCCCGCGCCCCCGCCGCTCTCCCTCACCGCCGCCAAGGAGCTCTGGATCTTCTGGTACGGCGAGGAACCCGATCTCTCCGGTCTGGTATCACCGGAGCTCATCGCTTGCGGTGAGTATATCTTCACCGTGTGTCCGGAAACGCACCAAGTCGAATTTGGAGACTGTAGGCCAACGAGATGAGGAATGTAAGGAGAATTTATTTTCGAAACTCGTTACGTGAATTATATAAAAACGTTCGATTATTATACAATTCCTTTTCTTTTAGAAGACACAGTACCAACGCCATTCTATCCTTCTTGGCATTTAATGAATAATAAAAATAAAACAACATTTGTGTTGACTATGTTTCCTAAAAAAAAAATAGGCTACGTTACTTCAATCAAAAGTTATTATATCTTTCTGAAAGCGGCGGCTAGAGACTTTTTGACAAGAGTCTGGACATGAGAAAGTCTCTTTTGATTGATTCGCCATATTTTAATAATTCCTGAGACAGAGAGAAATAAATAACAAAGAGATAGAATAGAGTGGAAAAAAGAAAGGAAATACGTCTTTCTTTTTCATAGATTTTTATTAAAACTACTATTTTGCATATAAACCTACGGTTCATGTCCAGACTCTTATTGGAAGGTCTAAAAGCGGCAAATCGCGTAATAATCGGAGGATCAAAAATGTTCACATGAAGATGATCCATGTCATTTGCTCAATACATGACAAACTGATAATCTCGATCCGTAATATTTATGTAGGCGCGATGTACGGTATATTGCATACGCCGGACTATAAGCAGCAATTACGTGATGTTTATATACCGTTGTGTGGTGTTTTACCTAACGTCAACAAGGAGACCGTGACTAAGCTAACTTTTATTACGTACTTTCCAAGAGGAAGTTTCGACACGTAAGAGACACGAAGGGACCACGTTGCGTTAACGGATTTGCAGAAGCGCTTGACGCGCAAAAATCTTGTACTATACACAAGATCTATAGACTGTACATATACAACGTTCTGTCGATATAGCCGACCAGAGGCAACGTTAAAGTCACGAGGAGAGGAAAAAGGAATACGATTAAAAGTGAAACTCTCTTAGTCTTTAGATCGTTGCGATAAGCGACGTGTATAAACGCGTTAGTCCGTGAATCACACATCAAATTATCACTCAACTGTGTACCTCTTTTCGGGCCATCAAACGATTCTGCCTGTTTTAACCGGCGTTTACAATAAGATTTTAAGGCCGTAAAATTAAGCCTTAAGTCATAAGAAATTAATCAATCACACCGAATATGAGGAGAATAAACGACCAGTATCGTGAATTTCTATGATTTCTCTACGATCATGTTTCATTTCGTTCTAGAGTTTTATCACGAGTAAAAGCGATAATTTGGCGTCATTTTGACAAAAACTCGGACAAGCAAGCCGAGCCAGTTTTGTTTGAGGATACCTGCGTGATCTAAAGCCGAAAACACGCGACGAAACTTTTAAAGCAGTAGCGAACCGGCTAGTTATAATTCTCGAGATTAGATTAGGTCAAGGAATATGCTCAACCGTGACCGGTCGATTTAACAAATTGAAGCTTTCGTTTTCTCTCACCGTAGATATATCGAGTTACATTACTCGAAGAAAAATTGTACGAATTCTTTTTTTTATATTCTGCATTGAGATAAATTTTTTTTTTATACGTTTAGTAAACGATCAGTAAAATATTCTCTCCAAGACTGGAAGCTTCGAGCAATGAATAAATTAATCAATCGCAGTTAAATGTTCTCAGGGATGGTAGATTAGGCCGTCAAGTACGCTCAGAGAGAGAGAGAGAGAGAGAGAGAGTTATCAAATTTGATTCACTCGTCCTTAATACTTCGCCGGCGACATGGGATTTCAACTCTATGGAATCTTAATTCTATAGTAATAAAAATCTTTGAGAAAAACGAAGCAAAATTTTTTTTGTTCCGGATTACATAAAAATCTGAAAAAAATTCTGATATACTTAAAATTTCAACAAGTTTTTACCATTATAGAAATCGAAGTGTATTTTACTTATTTGTTATAGATTTAAATCTACCAGAATTCACAGTCGCACAAAATGTCGATGATACCTTTAAGGATCCCATGTTGTCAGGGTTATGTTTTCTATCTTTCTTTTAACGCTCAGATTTCATTACTCAAGCTCCAACGACTACGATGACGATTATCCCGCCTTTGAGAAGTGTGCAGCAACGTCGTTGTCGTGCAACGGACCAGCGTTCGAGCCGTGCTGGACCGAGGCCCGGCCGGCGGCGTTTCTCGACCGGCGGGGTCGCTGAACCATGCACTTGTCTGCAACTCGTTGCAGCGCACAACGTATAGATCTGCTGTGTTGTGCATCGCACCGCGCCGCGCTGCTCTGTCGGAGAGTGCACCAATTGCGAAACTGTGGCCGACCGACCGCACGGTGAACCGTTAAGGCTGAAAACGACCAACATAGCCTACCGCCTGCGACGGTGACAATTGCGAGAATTTAGCGACTAAAAAAAAACCCGTTGATCGTTCGAAGAATTGAGATAAGACGCGCCCCTTCGCTCTTATCTCGCTCGGATATCGATCTCCTTCCTTTTCTTTGTTAGGAGAGAATATTTTGGTACTATCGGTTTAAAAGCATGAAATGAATAAATGTACCATTGTCGTTTTTCTTTTATCTCGTCAGATACGTGCGATAATTAATGTCGAAGTAGACAGTAACAGCTACAACAACAGTCAAGCCGAGTGCGTTCTACTTTTTAAGAATAATATGTTTCACTGTCAATTTTATGTATGATTATCGTGATGGAAGTTTCTCGATAACGTTCGGATTTTGGGAGACGCAAGCTGCAGTGAGACCACCGCGGCTAGTGGTCCATGAGAGATGCAACTCCCTCAGGCTCCGGTAATATCGATCGACAGAACACGTGTTCTCCCACCCAGTGATTCTCAACGTTACTGCAATTGCGTGTTATTGTAAAAGATGTATTTAATTACACGAGATTTATTGATTTCTTTCTTTCGTTAAATAATTATGCCTCGGTATTCATTTATTTTTGTATATAGTTACAGTTGGACGGAAACGTTTGCTTGCGAGATACACCTTTCAACAATCGTGAGTTGAAATCACAGAACGAAACGTAATATCGCGCTTGCGCGCGTTCCAAAGCGAGCTCGCAGATCCTACGCACCTCTTCGCACTTCGAAGCGCACTCGTTCGCGTGAGAACAAAATCAGGGGAAAGCTGGTTTGAGCACGCGCGCGCAACTTGAGATTCTAGAACTTTTCTGTTTTCTCGGCCAACTTCTTCTCTACCTTCCACGAAACGCTCACCGTCGCTTGACGTGACGTCGCTGTGATTTTACACGCGAATCGCATTACTTTCACGTTAAATGCCGCCGAATTGAACGCTCCGCAAATAAGAGCGTACTTCACCTGCTCCATCGTACAGCGCGACTATTAAAATATGTACGATAGCGAGCGAAAATTACATGCATATTTGTTGCCAGGGCCAAAAGAAGACATAACGTTTTCTTCTCACTTAATTCGAGCAGCAGTAGCAACGTGTAACCATTATTTCCGCGTATTTTTAGAAATCGATCGTCCGTACGTAGCGCACATTAGAGTATTCTAGTTCCTCCACGTCGTTCATTGTACAAGAAGGAATGTTATAACTAGAACCGATGCGCCGACGGCTTCGTTCACGATTTTATTATTTACTGTCATTTACAGAAAGCGAGCAGGGTTCTTGGGAAAGCGGATTGTCGTACGAATGCCGGTCACTTCTTTTCAAGGCTCTGCATAACTTGATTGAACGGTGTTTGCTATCCCGTGACTTCGTTCGCTTAGGAAAGTGGTTTGTGCAACCTTACAATGGCTACGAGAAACATCGTTGCAGCAGGTAAACGCTTGTTTAATAACAATATCTGTTATTGAATTCTGCAATTTCACAAAATATTTTTCAAAAGTAATGATATTTTATTTTATTTCATTTTGAGAACAAATTATTTTTAGAACGTTCAGTAATCATGCGTGTCTTATTATTATGTAAAAATTAGACACACATTGAAAATGTACAATAGCGTATTTAGAATGTATATATTATATCTAAATATATATATTTCATAAAGAAGTACATAAATGTTTATTATGAAATGAGTGATCTCGGAACTATATATTCGATAATTTGATATTTGATAATGACATTGATAAATGTTTAATGTGGATGTAAAATGACGCACAAATACGTGAATAGGATGCGTACATCTCATATGTGCCTAATTTAATGTGATAAAGAGTACAATGGATTAAGTGTACAAAGTACACAGTATTTTTGCAAATTATACTGTAGATTTGATCAACAAATCTTTAAATCTTTTATTTATATTTGCAGCAGCCATCTGTCGTTCTCGTTTGCATTTTTCGTTCACGGAGAAAGTACTGTGTGCGCAAGTGTGGACGTCAGGCAGCATCCTGCGGTGCGACATCTCACAAAGACATGTCTACAACGTACTCAGACCTCCCAATCCGGTGTTAAGGGTAAATATCGCTTACTACATAGAGAGAAAGATTTATAAATACAGTTGACACGATGAAATTGATTGATTATTAATATTAATGTATTTCTCTTGATTTATTCCACAGTGATCCTAGCCCCTTATGGACTAGCAGGCACATTAACGGGTCAGGTGAGCCGTATGGACAGTCAACTTCTCGAAGAATGGAAACATTTCTATCCAATCAGTACCGGCAGTAATCCGGAGACCGGGCTTCCACCCCTCGTGGAGGTCCTCGTCGGTGGCGTGCGCATGCGTTATCCTTCTTGTTATGTCTTGGTTACGGATATGGATGATACGCCACCCGAAATTCCTCTCTCGCCTCCAAGCAGCCCCGTCACTTGTGAGCGACCCCTCTTAACGCAACAGGAACTGAGCGCAGCTACTGAATTACCGGAACGCGTGTGGGCAGAATGTACTTTGAGTTCACCAGTGTCTGCTTCCAAGACAGAATCTTCCACGGAACCTGGAACCTGGACGTTCGTGGAACCGACGCAAAAGTCTTCCTGTACCTGTTCATGTTCGAAGTAAGAACAACGGAAGTTTATGCTTCTTTTTTATTTCAACTTTATTGCATTGTGCAAGACACTGTCTTTAGATTCTTGTTCTTAGATTTCAAGTATAAAAAATTAATTGTTTACTATATGTAACTTTTAATAAATTTATTATTAAATTAATTGCTTTAATTAGTTCAATAGCAGACTAAAGAGCAGACTCAATTGTATATGACTTTTTTATAATTGAATACAATAGTAAACATTTAATTTTACTATATATTACGTCAGTTGAATAATGTTAGTAATATTTGCCATCATATTGGTTTCTGCCATTATTGCATGTAATAGCACAAAATATAGAATCGTAGAATATCCAAATTATTATAGATAAGTAGTAATATGTGATGGCTGTTGTAATGTGTGCATGGAAATTTAGTTTTTGAAAAGATAGCTCAAAAGCAATTCTTAATGACGTGCTTGTTAATGTATTTATAAAGTTATATTTTTAAAGCAAATTAAATTAGGTACTTATTTATAATTTTTATCCAAAAATTCATAAATTGTTACTATAACGAAAAGATTGTAATATTATTATGCATTGCATTTGAGCTTCTATAAAAAAGCATAAGTATGTTTAGGACCGAGTATTAATGAGATATAAAATCCAATCAAAAGCTAAAGAGACCTGAAGTATGTTATACTTAAATAGCAAAATTGACTGCAATTTTTTTACATTTATATAAATCAATGAAGGCTAGCTTAAAATAACATACCGTAAATACAATCTTAGCTAATTCTTCCTTGACATTTAAATATGTTACTGAACTCTCATATTTGAAGAATTATGAGGTTGCCAAAAAATACTTAGGTATGCAAACATTATTTTTGTGGCCATTAATTTAAAAAAAACAAATGATCATAATGTATCATATTTTCATATCAATAATTTCAATGAGGTGTTCAAAACTTGATTAAGACAATGTAATATTTATTAATAAAAATGATTATTAAAATATAAAGAAGAAATATTAATAGTAGGATTACTGTGAAATAATTCAAATAGATAACTCAAATTCTTAAAAGAGTTGTTAATTCGCAAGCAAAACATTTTGTATTTTGTTTGAACCATTTTCTTAAAGTATATGATTAGACATGTATCAAAATAATGCAATCGTTACAAGTATGCCGTATTTTAAACTAGTCTTTTTGCAATTTCATAAAGTTGATATATGAGTTGTTGCTTCAGGATTCTGTAAGGTAAAATAATAGATGCGTTCACAAGGAAACGAGATGTTAAATGCATCGGTTGCAGGTATACGACCCCCGGGGGTTGGAAGAGCCTGGCCTCCTCTCAGATTCAGAGGGAGAGAGTAGATAAAGGTGGACGGAGGGTCGTACCGTTTCACCGACGGTCTACCACTCAGTGGGACGCTTGTCCCTCTGTCCCTGCTAATGCCCCCAGGTGGGTAATTTCTAGGCCCCCAAATATAAAGGGAGAAAGAGATCATCTTCATAATTTCTCTTAATCAATCACCGCAATAACGCCAGTTTTACGTATGATCATAATGATCCCCCATAACTCTTCACACGCAGATTCATCGCTTTTGCAGCTCCATCATGTAATATATTCAAATAACTTGACGCACAATATAACGTATTAATCAGATTTTATTTTAACTGTACAAAGGTGCGAGGCATGTGTCTTTTTAAATGCGATCGAGTCGCGGGTGAAGAAAGACGAACGGAAGACTAATATTCTTACACTTGAGACGGTGTAAAACTGCAAATATCATCTAATGGTATAACGATATACTTAGACTTTTTCAGTGGGTAAATGGGACTTCCTAATGTCAGTATTACGTGAATCCTATGGTATAAGGTTGTCAATTTTTTACATGTACTAATACAATGTAGTGAGTACAGAAATGTATTTAATGTCAACGAGTAACAAGTTTATATCAATGATATATTCCCTTAGCGAATTATTTTTATATACTATATTTCACTTATAAAAAACAAAAAAACAAAATAGTTTATGAATTTTCACATATAATCTGTCGACCTAAAATATTTTCATACGCATGAGATTCGGTAGCAGACGGGATCTGAGCTTTACATATGATTGGTAGTGCACTTCAGCATATATCTTCCTCTTCAGTTATTTAATTTGCTTATGTTACATGTAATATAGAAAATGGTATATGCTTTGCATGTAGATATTGTTCGATATTTCCAGCATTTATTTTATCTTATGAGTTGTCGTTTTTACATTCATCTACACAAACAGGCTTCTGTTCATATTCATACATATTTTATGTTTCGACAAGCGCAACATACGCTTTTTCTCGAACGATTCATTGTCTTAATTGCACAAAGTAATTACTTTAATAACATTTATTATGTTGAGAAAAATTAACGAAAATGTATATGCTGTTCTAATGTAAAGCTAATTTATTTTTAAATATATCATAATATATCGAAATAATCACGATGTAGGGAATACTGAAATCTAAAAAACTATAGTCTAATATTTTAATAATCTAGTTCTGAAAAATATTGTTTGCTATTTTGGATTGGTCTTCCCTGTATCAGAATTGACTATTCAATGCTTTTTCACATTCTTGGATATGGATACTAAACTCATTTTCTCTTTACGACTCTAACAAAAATTGTTGAACATATCTGTAATCAATCTGTTTAAAAATTGAGTAGGTCGATACTGAGTAGAACGGAAGCACCTAGTACACCACCGGGCGGTCCACCTTCCTACTCGCGCGGACCACCAACGGGAGGAGATTGTTTACCGGTGCCGTCGGTTGGCTCACCAGGTTCTCCGGCACCATCACCCCTTCTGACTCCACACTCCGAGCCGGCGTCGGTCCCGCCCGCGGAGCCTACGATGCCGACTCTCAGCCCGCAACCTCCACCAAGTCACACAAACACTGCCCTACCACTAACCCCGTCGCAAGGACCCAAGTCCATTTCTTCCGCGTGCAACAATCAGGTGCACAGTCCGTCGGTTCCTGGACCGGTACTGAAACGACCAATCTTGGTATCCCGAGAGTACGAAGGTGCTCTCTTGGAAGATGAGCAACCGCTATCTTGGCTCTACGATTATTCGCTCCAGGAAGCTTGGCTGAATCATCCTGTGAAGCGTTTTAAATCTATGAACATTAGCGTCCCGCCGACCAACCGGAGCAATGTTCTGTACCCACCAATGAATTCTCAAACGCTCCAATCTCAAGCTCCTAAGCTGGAAATTAAACAAGAACCTGTCGCAGTTGTAAGTGATATTTATCATTGACAAAAAAACTTAAGATAAATTGAATCACTTAGATTTTTAAATATATATTTGCTAAAAATACTCAAATTTTTATCAAATTATAGAAAGAGGACTTCTTCTTAAATGCCTTTTACCTTATTTAGTGGAATTTTATATAATTTATAAAATTTAGAAATTACTAGAAGTTTGTAAAATTAATACAATTTTTCTCATATTTTCAGAGCAAAAAAAAATAAAATACGATTAGCATATACATAAAAAATTTTTTATTCGAAAACTTGAATAAAAAACATTTCAGTATTTAAATGAAAATTATTTATTAACTTTATTTGCGGGAAGATTACAAAAATATTCTTAGCTATTTTCAATTCCAACGCAAATGCTTCTTTATTCGCATTATTAAACGCATTAACGATGAAGTATCGTGATATCAGGGCGAATGTATCGGAAGAAGAACAGATCCGTACGAGTTCGATGCGACAGGCGAGGAAAATGGCACAAATGTCGATGGTCTCAGACGACAAAGGGACGATCCATCTAAACCAGGATCTCTTTTCACCAGCGAGGGTCTTCAGCCTTCCTATAAAGATTTAGATCAAATATTCGACAACTCCGATCCTGATACTTCCAGCGATGAAACGGTAAGTTCGAATTTATTTTAAAATAACTAATACAATTCTGTACATGGCACAAGGATACAAGAGAAATTAGAAACACCTCCTCGAAGATCGGATAGAGATAGGATGCCTTTATGTTCACAGAATCTGAATCAACTACAAATACAAACGCCACCAGGCTCGAATAAATCTGGTGGATTGCACGAAGAGACGAGGGTGGACGGTGCAAACAAGAATAATCGAGGAGTTACAGTTTTACGACCAGAAGAATTATCCAAAATGTTTCCAACTCCTCCTTCTCTAGAGCATAATCCTGTTGCTTCGCCTTGCCAATTAAGTGACCCTCTCATGGACCAGACTGAGCTGCTGATGCCTTCACGACCGCTCAGACACTTGCCCGACATCTATCCTAATATGGGTTCTCCGCAAGAAGAGCCAATTGACGATTGGTCATACGTGTTCAAGCCGGCGGCCATCAGCAAGATGGTCGGTTCTTCCAAGTACGCACCTCTCACGAATCTGCCTAGCCAATCTCTGCCATCCATCACACTGCCATCGCACTGCGTGTACAGACCTTCCTGGCAGTGCAATTCTGCTTCCACCAATCAGGCGGACAAACCTCTTCCACCAACCAGGCCCGGATCAGTGCAACAGCAGCAGCAGCAGCAGCAGCAACAACAACAGCAGCAGCAACAGCAGCAGCAGCAGCAGCAGCAACAACAGCAACCTTGTCCACAAAGTCCGGCGCCACCTTACCGTTCAAACACTCTGCCTGGTAGGCCACCACCACCCCCATACGACCAACCCAGCCCAGCCACATCCACTACTTCTTCATATCTCAATAAAAATCTCAATAGCATCGAGGCGGATACGCCGGGACCCGCTCGCGCACCCGAATCAAATTCCCTCGTAGTGAATATTCTTCTAGGTGATACCGCACTCAATATCTTCCGCGATCATAACTTCGACAGTTGCAGTCTGTGTGTGTGCAATGCTGGGCCCAAGGTTGTAGGCAATATCAAAGGCGCTGACGCGGGCGTTTATCTCAGTAATTCGTGGGTAGGTTCTGCGCTCTTCCAAGACGACGATCAAATCAGATGTAGTTGTGGCTTCAGTGCTGTAGTGAATCGACGGCTCGCGCATCGAGCGGGTCTGTTCTACGAAGATGAGATGGAAATCACGGGCGTCGCCGAAGATCCGGCTGAGAAGAAGAAAGGCTCGCTTACTGCGGTCGCGTGTCCCGGAGCGAAAGCGGCCCCCGAAGGTCTCGACACGATACCATCAAATGTTCTCGAATTATTACGCGAGCAATGCTTGATCGTTCAAAGTTCTGCCAGCAGTTTGTATAGAGCGGCTAGGATATGCGCCACCGTGAAAAGCTATCCGACGTTGACGCCGACGGTGAACACTCTGGAGTTCAATGATGGCAATGAGGTATGCGTTGCCGCGCTCGATCAAGGCAAGCTCGACGGTGCGCATAACGAGAGGGCGGCGCGTGTAAACGGCGTGCATCGATGGGTGTTTCTCAGGGCACGAGGTCCCCAATGTAGCGGTGACATCGTGCGAATGATGAGATCGCTACAGCCGCTGCTCCAGGACGCGGTGCAGAAGAAGTGTACGACGCGCATGTGGGAAGCGCCGTATACTGTCACCGGACCGCTCACGTGGCGACAATTCCATCGTTTGGCCGGTCGCGGCACTGACGATCGTTGTGAGCCACAACCAATACCCGCTCTAGTCGTCGGATATGATCGTGATTGGTTGTCATTGTCGCCGTACGCGGTCTGCTTCTGGGAAAAACTGTCTTTAGAACCGTTTGCCGGACCTAGAGACGTCGCCTACGTGGTCGTCGCACCTGACAGTGATTGTATTGTCAGTAGAGTGAAATCGTTTTTCCGAGAACTTTCCTGCACGTATGAGGTAAATACAAGAATTATTTTGTCTTACAATGTTAATGTTTTCAAATCTTATACATTTCTCTTTTCTCATCACAATAACAAGACTCGATTATATTTAATATGATGTGAAAAAAAAACATCACAATAGAAGCCTCATTGATGTCTTTATCTTTTTATCACGATTGTTGAAAGAACAATAGTATTGCTATTATTAATATTGATAAATAAATTTTATTTTATTAAATTTATTAAACAAAAAAAGAGTAATTTTTGAATTTTTGAATCTTTATTGCAAAATATTATACACACACACACACACACACACACACACACACACACACACATACATACACAATATATTAAGTAGGTAGTTGGAATTTTTTTCTTTATTTTACTAAAATGTGTTCGAAAAACTACATTTTAAAACTGATCCTTTTCTGTATTGTTATTATATATAGTTTTTATATAATTTTTTCGTGGTTTGCTCAATTAATTTCGCCTGCAATAAGAAATATTAAAGTTTGAGATTTCGATATTTTTATAACTCGTCGCAGATTTGCCGGTTAGGAAGACACACGCCAATCTCGAAACAACTACGCGATGGAATTCTGCGCGTCGGGAAGTCGACTGTGCAGAAACTGGCGAAGCAATCGATGGATGATTGGTTCAAGTTTTTGGGAGAGAATCATATAGGCGAACTGTTAAGATTGTATGCCCAAGTGTGTAATCATCGATTGGCTCCATATTTGACGCAGGTCATACAAGATCGTAGTTTGTTGGATCCTGGTGATTCTCAACAAGCTAACAAACAGCAGCAACAGCAATCCACAACAATTCCCGTTCCCGATACAATGCCAGCTACACCCGATGTATTATCAACCAAACCTGAATCTGTCGGTACGTCTTATCGATGATCGCATTTTAATGATACGGTTTTAGCGATATATTGTCTCTGAGATTGAGTCTAGCAAGATTCGTTGCCTTTTACAGAAGGGGAAAATCCGAGGAGCGAGACTCCCTCCTCGAGCACAGCAACGAATCAGACTACTACTAATACCGGTAATACGACACCGACATCGCAACCTACAAGCAACACGACGCCGATTACTACGACCACAGGTCCGGACGAGGAGGAAATCGAACCTCCAGCCATCGTTGTTTACTTTGTTGAACCTTTTTCATTAGGCGGTACCGAGGATCCTGATCGACGTCGGCTTGCTATTCTAGCTCTACTCAGAGCTTACTCTGCTGCGATCAATAGCATGCCTGAAAATATGAGATCAAATATTCACGTTCAGGTAATAAATTTTAAGACTAGATCTTGATGCGATGAGGAATTAATAATTTTAACAATTGGCATTCTAACAATTTGCTTTTAGATAATATCCTTGGAAAGTATAATGGAATTGGGTCGAGCTCGAGAAAGGCGAAAGATTCAAGATGAGATGAGAGCCTTGGCGTTAAATGTCTTCTTGCAAGGACGTCGATTATTAAATCATAATTCTACGGTGAAAAGCCTTACCGGTTTCGGTACTGCCGCCGCTGCAGACATCTTCCTCAAAAGTAAAGATGTAAGGCTCCATATGCTCTATTGCTATAAATTAATGCGTACCATGTGATTGAGGATTGCCAAGTTCCGTTTGTGCGCTGCGACATTATGATGTGAAATTAAAATCCATATATAAATCATTTTCACTCATTTAGTAATATTTTCTGCATCAGGAACGAAATAGAGCACCTTATCGTCTCTACGCACCGGCCTTCGTATTAGCACCATTGCGGGCGAAGAGCGAAGCTCCCGAATCATTTGGCATGCCGAGACCTGAAGAATGCGCAGTGCTCTATCTGAGTTATTGTTTGAGTGAAGATCAGTCTTGGCTATTGGCGGCCGCAACGGACGATAGGGGCGAAATTTTCGAAACCGCTACCATTAACATCGACATACCTAACAGGAAAAGAAGAAAACGCGCTTCAGCTAGGCGTATTGGCCTTCAAAAGCTTATGGACTTTATATTGGGTGTAATGTCCCAAGGTGTAAGTAAAAATTTTACATAAATTAAAATCAACATTAAAAGAATAAACTAACAGTATTTAATAAAAAATATGAGAGCCAACGCAAAGTTTTTCGCAAAAACAATATTTATAATAATTTTTTTCATCTGAAAAAACAAATATATCGACCTTTATATCAGATCTGAATATATCGTTAACAATTTCAAATTATTAGTCATATCTCTATTACAAAGCTCCAAAAATTAAAATATATATCGGTTGCAAATAAAACGTATACGCATCGTTAACATGTTAACAAAGAATTAACTGTAGAACAATAGTATGGAATGGTTGATTATGTTAGAAAGTGGGGCAAGCATTAAAGGAGGGGAGTTAGAATCAGAAACTTAAGAGGGGAACAAATGGCTAAGGACAGGAAGATAATTATCGGGATAAATATCAGGTAATCGAACAGTATCACTTTATTCAGACCACGGTGTTGTTTTTTTATGTGTATTCCGATACTATCCTCTTATTAAAAGACGACTCAAAATATGCAAAATTGATATTTTTTCCCATTAATTTTTTAATGATGATAGAATACTTGGTATTATAAATGGCATGAAAAATCACAATTATAATAAAATTCTCATTGATAATTGTTATTCTCGTTAAAAACATATGTTCTTTATCATTAAATATTGTTCATTTTATAAAATATTATTTTTGTTTTTTATATCGTTCAATTATTTTTGTTGCAGGTACAACCATGGAGACTGGTCGTTGGTCGAGTAGGACGCATTGGACATGGCGAATTGAAAGGATGGAGTTGGTTACTTTCTAGAAAAGCGCTTCTGAAAGCTTCAAAGCATTTGAAAGAGATATGCGGACAGTGTAGTCTCTTATATCCCTCGGCGGCACCTTGCGTACTCAGTGCGTGTTTAGTGTCACTCGAACCAGATTCCACTCTGAGATTAATGGCCGATCAATTCACTCCCGATGAAAGATTCAGTCAGGCATCTGTAAACTGCCAGTTATCCACACCTCAAGATGTCACATGTACTCATATACTTGTTTTCCCTACATCCGCTACCACTCAGGTAAGAAAGTTTAATTATATATACATAAGCTTAATTATATTTATTGAATATAATTAGGCTAAATCTTGTTGTTGTTTTAATATTTTAGTCGTCGCAGACTGCATTTCAAGAGCAACACAACGTACCCGAGTTAGGAGACGATGAATTATTTTCCGCTCTAAATGATGATATGCCGGAAGGTATGGAGGGAATGGGTGACTTCAACGATATTTTCAATGTTTGGCCTGAGCCGGGCGCAGGCGGTGGGCAAAGTCCAAGCGGAAGTCCGCACCGTCCTGAAGGTTCACCACATGGAGGAGATGGCGGTGGATCAGGCTTGGGCAATCACGATGGTCCTGGCAGCCCATTTCCGTGCAGCAACACGCCAAGAGTAAGTTTTGTTTTTTAAACTAAGTCTGCGATTATATTGTATCCATGTGAAATTACATGCAAATTTATGTTATTCGCAGATAGCGACGACTGAGCAAGCAGAAGAAGTTGGCACGCTTTTACAACAACCGCTCGCTCTTGGTTACCTAGTATCAACTGCGCCAACGGGACGAATGCCACCATGGTTTTGGGCAGCTTGTCCACATCTCGAAAACGTTTGCCCGGTATTCCTGAAGAACGCGTTACACCTGCACAGTCCCGCAATACAACAGAACAGCGATGATTTACTTCAGCAACAAAACGCACCTACTGCTCATCCATTGGACTCGCAGTATACCACTGACGTGCTCAGGTTTGTATTTGCGATGATGTTTGTGATTTTTGTTTTCTAGACATTTGTTGCGCGAAATTTGTTATCGTGTAATTTACGTGATTGACAGGTACGTGTTGGAAGGGTACAACGCACTGTCGTGGCTTGCACTGGATGCAAACACCAAGGACCGACTGTCCTGCTTACCAGTGCACGTACAGGCGCTCATGCATCTCTACCATGCGACGGCAGCTCTCGTCTGACCCACACCCTCTCCCGTTGTAGTGCAGTATATGCACCTCTCTCACGCACTCTTTATTGTACCGTCACTTGGGGCTTTACGAGAGCAACTAATTTCCTATGCCCTTTACCTATACTACATTAGTTAGGTACTTAGAGAGATAGAGATTGTCTAGGTACAGAGTACGATCCTTCTCGACCATATGTAAAGAGAACCGAGCTTTTTTTTACTCGGGCTCTAATTAATACACAAGTTAGCGCAATGAAAATGCAAAGGCTGAAAATGCAGAACTCGATGAGAACAAACAGCGACTCTCTTTACCATTTTTCTATTATAACAGACGAAATAGATTGTACTTTGTGTTTATGATCGTATCTCGTATTTCGTAAGGAAAAAATGAACTGCGCATCCAATACGACCATTACCAGCGAAAGCAAATGTGAGACTTTGCGAATAGTAGAAGCGAAGATGCGAGTGATGAAAGATACTGTGAGAAAGGAAGAAAGATAGGGCAGGAAAGAATGAGGATGAAAGAGAAGTATAGCGAGAGAAAAGTGTGAAAGAAATAGAGAAAGAAAGTGCGTGAACGAACGAGTGAGTGAAAGAGAGAAAGAAAAGGTGAAAAAGAGAGTGCATAATAAGAAAATGATTTTCGATTGCCTCTCTATCGATAGATAGTTGAATTACAAATCAGAATCTCTAGAAAAATTACGTAACCAAAAGTTTTTAATTGTAAATTAAATTTTGTACAAAGCTTTTATTATTAATGACGACGAAGTAATATAAATGATATTACGTTGTTTTTTAATTTTATATAGATGATATAAAAAAAGAGAGGTGGACTTCTTTTTTATAAGCGATGCCTCGTATAAGCCCCTGGTGTGAGATAAGTATGACGATTATAATATTATATTATGCTCGCGCGGCACTGGGTCGCTGTTATCATGTTTCCTGGACCCGTTAGCGCAATTTTTCGATGCTGTTTGACAAATTTTATTCGGATTAGGTGACCTCTATATATTATACATACATTATAGTGTAAAATATTGTTTTTAAATAATTTATGAAGTGAGACATCGCCGAGATTAGATAATTGAGAATGAAAGAGGGAAATAACCGCGAGAGTGAAAGAAAAGGAGAGAAAGGGAGAGAAAAGAACAAGCGAGAGAATGAGAGAACGAGCCGGTTATGCAGAGATTGTTTTCCTCCAATTTAACTTTGAATGCAAAAAAAAGAAGAAAAGACACGAAGAGAGAAATTGTGGGGCGCGTCTGAGTGGAGCCACGGTGGCCAATTGCGTCAGTCGCATAGTACAAATATGACTTGTACATAGAACCCCTAACTCCCTAATTAATTGGTTAATTTACTCACACCTACACTCACTCTGTATCTATAGTATTTATTACTGGGTAGTACGTCATTATTGGGATTATTATTATTATTAAAATTATTATTACCATTATTATATTAATATTACGAAATACAGTTTTATGTGTATATATATAATTACATATGTGATTTTTCTTTCGTATTTGCAGCGCCCAAAAAATTGTCTCGCAAGCACAGTAGAAAAGATTTTTCGCTTCCATGAACATACAAAAAAAAGTGAATTGAATTTTTTTCATTTGCTAAGTGACTGCTCTTATCATTTCGAGTTTTGTGTACTAATATCTTTTTACTAGTCAATACGCGATGGTGCTATATATCTTTACATTGCTAATTAGGTAGATAAAAGTATCCTTTTTTAAAGAAAAATAAAACGTGATACTTTTAAATACCTTTAAAGAGGAAGGAAAATACGCGACATATATATTAAAATACGATTTAAGGATCATACGTTTTATTCAGTTTAAACTCTTAAGAAATTATTATCACATCGCATCTTATAAAATTTAACTGTCGTAATTTCGTTCCTAAAAAAATTTCTAAAAAAAATTCTGAATCTCTACGCATATCTATTGTGCTTGCACTATCTCCCTATCTTTTCTAGTCTATAACTATATCCATTATGGCCAGTGTTTTTTAACACAGATACGTATAAAGACTTCATGTGTTTAAGAAGTACGATATATCACACTTTTCCGCTGAGAATATATTACACTTATATATCGTTGGCTCGAATGGACTAGTATCATGTATAAAATAAAAATTACAGAACCTTACGATTTATTTACGACAGTGTACGGACTAGTATTCAATCAACGTCGACGGTCGATCCGGAGAAGATCTTTCCAGGCTGTGACTGATACCATATGGCCTCAAATGGTAAATTAGATACTCCAGAACATACATCATGTTCGGTGACACGTAATGGAATGAAACAGCACTGTCTGAACAGCAATTCAATCCATCCTTGGTATCATAATAGATATACTTCCAATACCAGAAATTTTTATCTACATGATTTGGGATCAAATGATGTTCCGGCACAAACGGAAAGAATCTACCGCGCCCATGAGGATCTCTGGTATCCATCGCGCGTACACCAATTTTTTCGAGACATTTTCCCATCTCCACGTCCTCGGCACCGCCATTATCCGGCCGGCACTTTGTCTTATCGGGTAAACCTTCTTCCACGAACTTGCGTAAGCCTTCCTTACTAAGTACATATCCTGCGCCACCGCTCATATAACCTTGTTTTACGAAAGGTTTAAATCTGCATCCGAAGTACAATGATGAATTTGGATTATATGATGATAACATATATCGTAAATTTTCTACTACCACATATCTGAAAACGCATAAATGTAAAAAAAATTATTTTTTTCAATTACATATGTGTACAACGTATTTAGTAGCTCTTTTGATTGTGAATAACATTGTTCATTTAAAATAATCTAAACTATCAAGTTTATTTAATTTTTTTGTTTTTCTAATTTATTCAATATTACTTGTATTTATATTTTTTGTTAACTAATAAAAAAAAATTTGTGTTACTTATTTATGTGTATTACACGATAAAGATAAAATCGTGAAGAGAATGTACATGTATATATCGTGCTGTAGAGATAAAATTTATCATAAATATAGAATACACTTACGTATCATCATCAGCTTTCATGAACCAATCTACTTTATCTTTGTACTTCTCGTAAGCGTATTTAAACGCTTCTTTGGTTTTAGCCCATAGATTATCTCTACCTTCCTTTACTGGCAATACTACAGTGGGTAAGCTGGCGTCTAAAAATAAATAGCATGAGTACATTGTACAAAAATTCTATCTGCGTATCACAATCTTTATCTACGTTTAAAATACCTGCCGCAGAACTCATAAAAAGAAGTACATTGCAACGTTTTCCCCATGTCGCTTTCACGTGACGAGCCTTGCTCTGATGATTCTTCGGACCTGTCATAATCCAGCAAAGAACACGCACTTTTCTCGCCATATCCTGAGCTATTCTATCTTCTCCTTTGTGGAAATCTTCATCATCACCATGAAATTTCACTTCTGTTTCAGGACCAACCTATCATAGAAAATTCAGTGATGAAACTTAAAAATCATTTCACAGTTACACTTATACAGGGTGTCCTGAAATTCAATTCGAATTAAAATACCACAGCAAGAAAGTTCTCGAAAAATTAAGTTATTTGTTAAATTTTTTAAGTAGTTTTTGAGATAATAAGGATTTAAATATGGATAATTACGTTTAGATGACATTATACGAGTCATTATTTAAACGTAGCCTATAGTTAGCCATGTTAAAAACTCTTATTATCTTAAAAAGTAGTACTTAAAATAAAAATTTATTAAATTAAAAATAACTTTTTTACTTAATTTTTCGAAAACTCTTGCTGTGGTATTTTGATTCACGAATTTAGGAACATTCTGTACAATAATTATATTTAAAAAAAAAAACATTATTTGCTCATATTTTAATTAAAAAGAGAGGAAATTCATCCTTTTCCTCACAGATATAGCTATAAGCAAAATTTACACGCATTTATGTTGGCTTATAAGTTTCTATGTTTTGTATCGAATATTTAACATATGGTTCTGAATGATAGATCAAGTTGGCACAAACATTTTAAAAGCATTGTTATTTAGAATATAAAAAAAAATACATTGCGTACCTCTGATTCTAGTTCTGAATAATGATGAGGATCTCTGGAAAGGCCAGAACCACCTGGTACCCAACTAAACATGTGCGGTACATCTCTCGTAGATGTAATGAGCAAACATGCTGATAAAAAACCGAAAACCGTTCCAGCAACGAGTGTCAATATAAATCGCCGTCCACTTCGACCACCTGTGTGAACAAGTAATTACTGTATATTTTATAATTGTTACAATTTCATATTTACAAATTATGGATTAACAAGTCAGAGGATTAAGCATAATAATTTATTTATATAAAATTAAATGGACACTTACCATCAAAACTAGGTAGCCGCTGCTGCACCATGATATATAATATAAATTGGCTCAACTCAATAACTCTATAAATGCTTGAATATAAATTGCAGTCTCTTTCGCATTCATTTTTACTCGTATAAATGCATGATATGATATTTTATTACTGCCTTCTAAAATATAAAAACATATTACTGTTTTATGATTAATATAATAAGAAAAGAGATAGTACTGTGTTAGGCTGGCCACACAATAACATTCAAGTAAACTTACACACAAGTGGATTGTACAAGTATACTTGATAAATTTACTTGAAAGCGTTTGGCCAACCTCAAATAAAAAGTGCACTAAATGTTGAACAACTTTTACTGTAATATTATCATCTGTTCATATTATCTTGTGAGATATCAATAAATTCTTAAAGTTTGTTGATAAACTACTCTGAAAGTTGATTGACATCAATATCTTATTGATATCAGATAATATTTTTATATCATTATATATAATCATAAATTATAATAATAATTTATAATTATCAATTATAGAAATAAAGAAATAAAAATTTTTCTTATGCCAAGTACTCTTATATTAATGTATTATTTTTCTATTTTAGTTCATGTTGCAGATGACTATTTCACAACATTAAAATCAACATCACGTAATATTTGTGTTAATAAAATACATTCATTATTATTCATTAACTTCATATACATACCTGATCAACAAGATGGCTTGATAATACGATAAACTCTTCAAGGCCATTTCTAAGCTCATGTATTGAACTCGTCACTTACACAATAATGTAAGATAATCTTCGCTGAGCACATCTTTCCATGCTTCTCGTATTTTTAGTCAGCTAAGAATGAGTGCTAAGAGTTGTATATATAAGCGTATGTATAATGCAGTATCTTCGATTCAGAGGACTGGAGATCTGAAATAAAAAAAAACCTTCATAAATAGCAACCAGAGACAGGTGTTTGAAAGATCTGGAGATGAGAATACTTGGAGACAATGCTGTATTCACAGCACACTTTTTGAGTTATATGCGCATTTATATTGCTGAATGTATAAACAGTTTATCGGAAGTGTTCTTTGATAACGAAATAATGGTTATTATGATTCTAGATATAATAGCACTTTTGTTTCACTGATAATGTTAGTGTGTACTGTGTAATATTAGATGTTATCTCCAAGCAAGCAAAGCGATTTTCTACGAAGGCACCAGGCACCGGCGCCAGAGCACAGGTGCGAATACAGAAAATAGGAAATATATGTAATAATGCTCGATCTACTATTATGCAAGCTCAGTCTATTATTATGTTAATTACAGGCACATATATAACAGCGAATGCGAAAAGCAGCGGAGCATCGCGTTCGAAACGTTCGATCGTCGCCCAGAGTGACATCGCATTCCTTCAAAAATACTGTCGGCGAAAACAAAACAGAAAACGAATTGTGCAATGCGCGATAACAGGAGGTCGGAATGCGATATTTTTCGCGATAGTCATCAGTTTTCGTCTAGCCGTGTCTCTTATTAAGCCAAGTTACACCGAAGCACTCTTCGTTCGTTAGCCCGTGTTTATTAAATTTATGCGCACAATTGCGCAAATATTCGCACGATCGTGACAAATATTTACGGCCCAATATCACCGTCACTATACACCTCGCACGCGTAACGAGGAGTTTTCATTCACAAACCGTGCGAAGTATCGTGGATCACCTACTGCCCAGTCGTCGATGGTGCGCCGGGGAATGTTCGTCGCGCCGCGCCGTCGCACGAAGTGAATCGTTCGATTCATCAAAGAGAAAAATCTCGTCAACACGCCTCGCGGTCTCTCGCGGATCTAACACGCGGATCCGAGATTCCGGATCCTCCTCTTCGAGCTTCCGAGAAGCGCGCGTTATCGCGAGAACATGTTTACACAGCACGTCGAGAATGCCGTCGGTGTTCCGTGAATTACAAGATTAAAAGAACCAACGACTTACATTTCTTCTTTCCCTCCTCCCTCCCCCCCTTCCCCCAGGATTCACAGGCGAACGTCTTCGAGCGACGGCGTCATCCCGCGAGCGTTATCGCGAGAGACGCGTTAACAGGCACAAAAGAATCCGCGAACATTCGGGTAGCGATAACAATCGACGATGCGCGCGTCTCGCTCCCCCCTCCGCCCCGTCGTAACGAGTATGTGCATACACGCGCACGCGCGCACACGCACGTCACGTGCCGTGTAGTATGTACATACGCACTGATTAGAAAGTATCCGTGCATAGCGTGCACCGAGGCCGTCTCCATTCGACTCGTGATGCTCGTGATGTGACGACGCATATGGCCATCACGCCGATATTCTCGTATCGCGAGGAAACGCCGAGAGCGCGGGGGGAAACAAACCATCGACGCGATACGACCTGATACGACTCAATTCGTCATCCGGTATATACGTGTATATGTGCGT